TTGGGAAGGGTGCATAAGTTATCCCCCCCCCGCCTAATTAAAACTTCTGAAAAAAACATACGTCTAAGAATACGGTATTCGTGACCAAATTTAGTCTTAAAATATTGATAGATATACACCTTTCGAGTGAGCCAAATTCTCAAAACTTGTATTTTTTAATTTCTCTTCTTACTTAGTGAAGAGACATTATAATCCTGCGGCATAAATTGATATTTTTGAACGGAAAAACCATTGTGGGCTGAGGTATCAAAAAAGTGGATACATTTTGTTCTTATATATAGAAAATTACACTCTCTAACACGTTGTGTAATCAGAATCCATGATAACTCTCTGCATTTTTGAAAGTTTCAAAAAATTAACATGACACATGAACATGATAGAGATTTTTTATCAAAAACAATTTGTTCTCACAAATACGGTCGCTACGTTTTGAAAGCAAAGAGTTTTAATGCAATTTCTCTTTAAAGTAACACAAAAATGATCAAAAATGGTTCCAAATTATTTTCTTTTAATTATTTGGGAGTAAAGGACGCTTAAAAACATGGTTTAAGTTTCATATTTGCTGAACTTTCCGAATTTTCGAAAACAGCAAATAGTTAAATTTCATCCGAAAAGAATGTGTTGTAGTTCCAGTAGTTTAAAGATATTTATTAGAATCTTTTCATGTCAATGAGTAAAAAATATTGTCTTCTATATTTTATATCATATGACATCCATATTTATTATAGACAATCAAACCAAACATCATTCCATATACGTTCATTTATTCATTTGAAGTATACACTTTTCACAACATTCACGTTTCGCACGTCAGATTTACACTGAGGTGACAAACGTTATGGGATACTTCCTAATATGGTGTGAACCTCTTTTTGCTCGGCGAAGTGCAGCAACTCGACGTGGCATGGACTCCTCAAGTCGCTGGAAGTCGCCTGCTGAAACATAGGGCTATGCTGCCTGTACAGCCGTCAAAACTGTGTCCGGTGCAAGATTTTGAGCACGAACTGACCTATAAATTATGTCCCATAACTGTTCGAGGGTTTATGTCGGGTAATCTGGGTGGCCAAAACATTCGCTCGAATTGTCGAGAATGTTCTTCGAACCTATCACAGACAATTGTGGTCCGGTGACATGGCGCATTGTCATCCATAGAAATTCCATCATTGTCTGGGAACGTGAAGTCCATCAATTGCTGCAAATGGTCTCCAAGTAGCTGAACATAATCATTTCCAGTCAATGATCGGTTCAATGGGACCAGAGGACGCAGTCCATTTCACGTAAGAACAGAACACGTAAGGACCCACCACCAGTTTGCACAGTGCCTTGTAGACAACTTCAGTCAATGGCTTCGTAAGGTCTGCGCCACTCTCGAAACCTACCAAAAGCTTTTACAAACCGAAACCGGAACTCAACTGACCTAGCCACGGTTTCCAGTCGTCTATATTGCGATTTATGCAACTCTACCCAGCTGTTCACGATTTCATTCAATCGGCAATTTGAACATCACCATAGTGACGTCACTATGATGACGTCAAATCTGCCGATTAGATGAAACTATCATCAGCTGATACCTGCCAGAAGCAGAGTTGTGAAAATCGCAGTATAGGATTCAATCAATATGGTCCCGAGCCCAGGAGATGCGCTGCAGGCGATGTGCTGTTAGCATAGGCACTCGAGTTGGTCTTCTGATACCGAAGTCCATTAAAGCCAATTTTCGCCGCACTGTCCTAATAGATACATTCGTCGTACGTCCGACATTGATTTTTGCTGTTATTTCACACAACGTTGTTTCTCTATACGGAAACGCCGCTGCTCTCGGTCACTAAGTGAATGTCGTCGGCCTCTGCCTCGTCCATGGTGAGAGGTTATGCACGAAATTAGGTATTTTCAGAACAATCCTTACACTGTGGATCTCGGAATATTGAATTCCCTGCCGATTTCCGAAATGGAATATCCCATACGTCTAACACTAGCTAGTATTCCGCGTCCAAATTCTATAAATTCCTGTCGAGTTCCATAATCACGTCAGAAACCTTTTCACATGAATCACTTGTACACATAAAAGATTTGCCAATGCACTGCCCTTGTATACCTTTTGTATGCGAAATTACAGCCTTCTGTGTGTTTGAATATTGTTGTCCCATGACTTTTGTCGTCTCAGTGTACATCGACCAAGGTAAATGATTTTACTGGCTTTGTAACTCACTTTTACATGGTTATATTCCACTTTTTATTAAGATATTACAGTAAATATATTCTTGTAATTTTTTAGGAACTGACGTTCGAAGTGCAAAAGGTGAAAAGTTTAACGTTCAAGTGACACAGTGTGTGTGTGACTGGTGTGTGTGTGTGTGTGTGTGTGTGTGTGTGTGTGTATGTGTGTGTGGAGTGATGTTTGGTTTGATTGTTTATAATAAATGGGGATAGCATATAACGTTTTTAATATATCTTTGTTCGTTCATCTTTACTTTTCTCGAGTAATAAAAATAGTTCCTAAGCCGTACACGCTGTATTTTTCAAAACGTCCTTTTTGGTTTCTCATCCGCTTTAAGACATCAGGAATTTGTAAGATATTTTTGATTATTTGGAAGGGAAGTACTTCCATGAAACTTAATGTTCTTGACATTATTCTACTGCAATCTTAAACGTTTCTCAAAAACCGTTCCGCTTTGTTCTTCAATTGTTTCCCCGCAAAACCATCGTTCTTTCCTATAATTTTCCAAAATACGCGTTTCTATTTTTAGGGTCTGAAGTAAATATTCATTTATGGGTGAACGGCAGGTACGAACATATTTAAAGATCCACATGATGTGGGTCACTGTTGCAATGGGAACGAATAATGTATATTGAATAATAACGGAAACGAATGATGTAGAATATTTTCAGATTGTTTGCTCTATATGAATCATGGGCAAAATTTGTATTTACTACATTATTTATCTCGTAATTTCTGGCAGCTTATTAAAAAAAAAATTTAGAAATAGAAAGTACGGAATCCTAACATGTGCAATTAGAAGTGAAACAACCAAAACTTATTCAGTGCATCAAAACAATATCAAGTTAAATATTTTAAAGGTTGAACAGTTTTAATAAATCACTACTGCAATTTTTTTTAATAATTACTTAGCCTTAATGCGAGAAAACGTGTCCCTACTAGTTCCCAATGGAAAAAATTAATAGCAGAAATCTACGTGAATACTATCAAATGGAAAAATTAGAACAAAATGTTGACAAACATTTTCCATCAGAACCAGAAAGATAAAAATTAAACACATCGTAGGGGGTGTAGCTCAGTGGTAGAGCGCTCGCTTCGCATGTGAGAAGTCCCGGGTTCAAACCCCGGCACCTCCAGGACATTTTTAATTTTAATTATAAGCGAAAGACTCGTGTCATACATTCAAGATGGATTCCGTAAATGGCGCTCATGCTCAGAATGTATATTATACAACAATTAAAACGTGGATGCAATCTACCTATACTTCCTGTCTATTGACTTTGAAATGCTTGTAATTGTTTCTAAAAGAAAATGAAGATCTGTAATGGATTAAATAAAGTACTACCCAAAACAAAGAATAAGCATAAACCCAAGAATGTTAAATATATAATATGGACAAGGAAACAGCGAAACAGTTTATTGCAATCGTAAATTAAAATGTTAAACACCTAGTTTAGAACTATTACCCAAACTTTTGTCGGAAAGTATAAATCACCACTAAAATTATTCTTACCACATTTGTTAGTCATCACTTTCTGAGTTTAAAATAAAATTTTGATTTTTTCCTGTTCCTAAGTAAAATTAGGATTGAAAAATTAAGAAGCGATTTGTATTCTAAGGGTCCCCACACGAAGATCGCTCCAGTCTCCCCACAAGAGTTAATTCAGCCATTCCTAAACTACGTACGTAGTATGGTAGAAGTTAAAAAAACAAACGAAAAATTGCAAAATATGAAAATATTTTGTGTGAACTGAAACACTTACGGAAGTTAACTGGTGTAAAGGTATACGCCTTCATTATATTCGCAGAGGGCATTTCCAAAGCCTTCCGAGAAACATCTGACAGAATTTGAACTTCCACATAACAGGAAACGTTCAGTCTTAACTCAACATCCCATACAGACTGGAAGTTCTAGTTATGAGTCATAGAGGTGGGTTCCATAAAATTTGTGAAAGTACGTGGCTATACTCCCGGGTCATTCAAAAGACTGAGAAATGCAAGACATTACTTTATTCGGAACAGCCCACATTTTGCGCAAAGAATTGGAGAGGCACCGACAGTTTTCCACGACTCTACATTTGCTCCTTAGGAAGCTGATTGCAACCTGGAGTAGATTTTATATTCAACCGGCTGATAAAATCTTATGTCGTGAATTACATTAATAATAATAATAATAATAATAATAATAATAATAATAATAATAATAATAATAATAATAAATTTAATTTAACACGTGCAATGCCAATGATAAAGAAAATCGGTAATTTAGAATAATGGATGTGGAGTGCCCGTGGATGTGCGCCGGATAAACGGACAGACAAGACCCAGTAGAAAAGTGTCGTAACTTAAAAAAATTGAATTTTGTTACATACATTATTTAGAGTAAAAGTTTATGTTCTTGCGTCCTAGAATAGTGTCATTTCTTTCTAGGCTAATTTTAGTCAATTATTGACAATGTTTATGCTTCATAAACATGATTTGGTAATGTAATTTCAAACCTTTAAAGGGCTCTCCCGAAAATTCACCTTTTTTGTGTTACGACACTTTTCTACTGGATGTGCGAACTTCATGCATCACAAATTCTGTCATTTATCTTCCGAAAAAAGGAGGCTAACCACAACTGGAGAATCACTTTTTGGTGGACAAAATATATATGTATGTATGAAATATGTGCGTACGTATTTACGTATAAATGAATCTTTCAATGTTGAAAATAAAATTTATTATGTTACTATGCACACGTTTACAACGATTTTTTGCGAATTACACACTGCAATGTACCAAGTCTTTCGAATCCGTGGCAAAGAAGAGCTATAACACAGCAATAATGTTTGCTAAACCGGAACAATTCTTTGTATGTTTTCTACAATAATTTTATTGATACATCTCTACCCCTAATCAGCCTGACTCGCAACGAAATGTCATGTTTGTTGGCTAGTGGCTACTGTGTCATGAACATGGACAATGTGGAGACAATTTACCTTCTTTGGATAGAAATTGTATCGCTGAAGACAGAAGCTTAGGCTGCGCCATCTGTCTGCTAAACTACGAATGATACAGTTAAACGCTAGGTAACCAAAGTCGAGGTTCGAAGCGACGGGCGCATGTGTGAGTGTGTGTGTATTTCTTGTTTCAAATATAGTATTTTCTGACCTCTCGGTGATATTCTAGGTATAGCTTTGCACCGAGAAAGTTGAAAGAAGAATTAAGAAAAAGACATGCTGTCTGAAACATTTTTTTCGCAGACAATAATTTCAAAAGCAAATTTAGATTACCTTCGTTCCAAGGAATGAAAATGCTGTGATTCGTCCGTCTCCAACAAAACTACGTCGCCTCGTTAATTTTAAAATACGCAAATTCGTTACTCAATTTAACCATGTGTAAAATATAATCATATTCGAAAATAAATGTTTCTTTGTGCCTTGAATAATTGTGATGCGAGTGGTAGTGAGTGGGTTACAGGCACTGCGGAGCTGAGAAACATGTCTCCGCTGTTCGTGTGAAGTGGAATTGTGCGATGGTTAGAATCGAGTGTTCTGTAAAATATCTTTGGAATATTGTTGCCTCTTATGTGAAGAAATATAATTCCATGTGTGCCTTTCGAATTTATCTACCACCCACCTGCCTGTGAATAGGGGTTGAATCTTTGTTTCCGGTTCACATAATACCAGACTCTATGGATAGCTACGTACTTGGTTTGAACACGCTTCCCTGGGCAAAAGAACACCTAATCTCGTGTAAAAACTACAACTGAGATTATTTTGACATCTTATGAATGGCGTCGGAGTAGATCTGTCAACCATGCCTCTTTCGCGTACTCGCTCCTTGCTTGCTAATATCAATGGTGCCCCATCGAGTACTCCAAGTGACACATACATTTCGCAGATCTCGGATATAAGTAATCAGTTACCGCCCCTTAAATCTGGAACTAATCCTTTAATAGATGATCCTGTCTTGGCACATCTTCCTAGCCCACAAAGTGCCAATCATCAAACACAGAATCAGCAGGCAAGTAATGTGAATCAGACATTACCATTAGTGAAGGCAACAGCACCAGAAGAAAGCAATGGTGTACAGAATAAAAATGGATCATCAAAACCTAAGACGATGGTGGTCACACCTGAGCAAGTAATGAAATTGTACAGGAACAAGCTAACCCCTTATGAACAACATGAAGTTTTTGATTATCCACAAATTTACTTTATTGGTGCAAATGCTAAAAAGCGACCAGGAATTGTGGGTGCTGCAAATAATTGCAGTTATGATAATGAAAATGGTTCATACATCCATATTCCTCATGATCATATAGCTTATAGGTATGAAGTGTTGAAAGTTATTGGTAAAGGTAGTTTTGGACAGGTAGTAAAAGCGTATGACCATAAAAATCATGAACATGTTGCTCTGAAAATGGTGCGGAATGAGAAGCGCTTTCATAGGCAAGCACAAGAAGAGATTAGAATTTTAGAACATCTTCGCAAACAAGACAAAGACAATACCATGAACATTATTCACATATATGATAGTTTCACATTCCGGAATCATATGTGTATAACATTTGAATTGCTGTCAATTAACTTGTATGAGCTTATCAAGAAGAATAAGTTCCAAGGTTTTAGTTTACAGTTAGTAAGAAAATTTTCACATTCATTACTGCAATGCTTGGATGCATTGTACAAAAATAAAATAATTCATTGTGACATGAAACCTGAAAATGTTTTACTAAAACAGCAAGGCAGAAGTGGCATAAAGGTAATCCATTAAATTTGTTACAAATTTATGAAGTACATATTTTGGTTAGTTTGTATTCATTGTGCATATAGTTGTCATAATGATTTTGAATATGTGTAGTTTTATCTTCCAGTTTTGACTTCTAATTTTAGTTTTGAAACTTCAACTTAGCTTTGGGTTTGTCATAGAAGAATGGATGTTTTTATTAGTTTGCTTTGTGGTTTTTGTGTGTAAGGAAATTCATTGAATTGTCAGAAATTACAATTTTCAATTGGAAATTTAGGTTGTGATTAATGATAATCACAAAAGTGCTTTAGATCATTATCACAGGACTAGCACTGATTATGCCGTGTTTCGTGGATAAAAAGAAAGAATAAGCAATCAACATCAACAATTTTTTGTGATTGATAAATTTGTGTGAATGACAAACAGATTTCACTTTGAAGTTGTTTTTTTTACTATTAATTATTATGTTATGTACCATTCATTTCTATTTTTCGACAGTAGGATCACTGCAAAGTGTGACCAAGGAAATAATTATATTGTCCTGGATTGCACATTTGTTAAATATGCTTGCCAATAAGCTAGTTTTGTAGTTTCTTTCTGTTGATAGTTAGTAGAGTACTTGGAACCCAATATTTACAGATGAAAAGTACTTATTAATGTTGATAGTTTTTTATCTTCAGTATTATAGTATATACAATCTCCTGTTTTCAGTTTACTTTAATTAAGTGAGTTATTGATATTTCAATGTCCTTTTTTCAGGTGATTGATTTTGGTTCAAGTTGTTATGAAAATCAAAGAGTTTACACATATATTCAGTCAAGATTTTACCGGGCTCCAGAAGTAATTCTAGGTGCTCGATATGGAATGCCAATTGATATGTGGAGCCTTGGTTGCATCCTTTGTGAACTACTGACAGGCTTTCCTTTGTTACCTGGTGAAGATGAAGCAGATCAGCTTGCATGCATCATTGAACTTTTAGGAATGCCTCCTCAGAGGTTGTTAGATGCTTCAAAACGCGCAAAGACTTTTATCAGCTCGAAAGGTTATCCCCGTTATTGCACAGCTACAACCCTTCCTGATGGAACTACAGTCTTGGGTGGTGGATTATCTCGACGAGGCAAGCCTAGAGGACCCCCTGGAGCAAAAGATCTTTCACGAGCATTGAAAGGCTGTGATGATCCACTCTTTTTAGATTTTATACGTAGGTGTTTGGAGTGGGATCCAGATATGAGAATGACTGCATCTGCTGCACTCAGACATCCTTGGCTGAGAAGACGTCTCCCAAGGCCTCCAGCAGAGAAGGCTGATTCACAACCAACTGGTGCTCGAACATCTACTTCATCTTCTAGAAATTCTAGTAAAACGAATACAATGGGAAGTAGCACTATGAGTGCTAATAAACTCAGGGTTCAACTTTCTGATGATAGAGCTAGTACTGTTCATTCACGTCATTCACATCAGTCCACAAAATTACCTCAAATCCCTACAAATACATAACAGATTGTCTCAGCTTAACTCTATTACAGAGAGCTATGTTTTTTTTTAAATTTTATTGTAGCAGTGTGAAGAACAGAACAGGACCAGTGATCTCAGAAAATTTGAGGAAACCAAAACAACAGGTGCTGAAAGTTTGTCACTTGCATGTAGAAATGACAGAAAATTAGTAATTTCTGACTGCTCAAATAAGCTTTCTTTGACTACTTGGAATTAGATTTATATTTAGTGAGGTTTATGGACATTTAATAGTCTCTTGCTTAAACATGATGACCTTTCGACCCTAATTTTATGGCATTTGCCACTGTACATATTTATTTTATCATTCTAGATTCATGTTAACACCATGTATAATTTACTGAAAGAAATTAGTGTGGGAATTGTAAAATTTATTCTAATTCTACATTGTCCTGTAAATAAAATATGAGTGTTATGGAAAAAATGTAAAGAAGTTAGTGCCGGTATGATTGACTTGAATATCAGATGATTTTACATCTTTTAATACAGCAGTTTTGTAATGACTAGGGTGCTCACATTTGCATTTATCTTCCATTTGCATTTCATGAATTTCCAATTTCCTTTGGCCACTTTACAGCCTCTGGCATTTATGAGTTGTGGCATCTTTCTATTTCCTGAGGAAAAAATTTAGAAACTTCTGCATACTTCTCTAGAAAAATGTTGACAATGCGTATCATATTCCAGAAGATAAGCATTTGCATATGGTCATAATAAATTCTAGTGCCTGCAATCCCTGCTATAGATTCATTGTTTCTTAAGGAGAAAAATGTTTTTGTATTTTTCCACTGAGATTTAATCTGTGCTAAAGTAAAATTCTTTTTATAAAACAGAAAAATCCTTTTCAAACATTTCTTCATACATTTGGAGACAGCTATATTGTTAGTACCTAGTTGTATTTAGGTTCAAGGAAATAATTCAGACAAAAAGAGACTTTGATTGTGAAGTAATATTTTCTTTTAATAGCCAAGAAAAAGAGGAAAAGGCAAAAAATTGGTTTCTACTGCATTGTACATAATAAGTGCAAGGTTGTTTCACTTTGTCCCAGTTAAGTTAGTCAGTCTTTTATTTTAGTGAGTTGAAATTTATTTGGTCAGCAAGATCATCAATAATCAACATGAGGCATAGACTAAATTTCTTAAAATAACCCAAATAAAACAGAATTTTCAATCTCTAATCTTTGAAATGTATTTTAATTTTTAATAAAAGTAACTGCTTTTTAATTCATATTTTTATATTGGCCAGACTATTGAATGTGAAAGATGTTATGTAAGTTTCTGATTGATTAGTCTGCAAATGGGATTTAAAGCTATATAGCACATAAGTGTCCTCATGCATATGATGAAACAAAACATAATTTCTGTCCATATGTGTAAATATAATTTTACAAATATAATTAATGAATCCATTTTTTTAATTGTCAAATGGGCTGTTTAAAATCATGTTTGAAAACAATGTAAATTGAATTAAGGAAACCTAATCTTTGTTGATAATCACCTGCATATTGAGAATAGATGGAGCCAAAGAGTTCATATTATTTTGAAGTTATTGTTGAAGTACATGTTTATAATGGAGAAGTGTTAAGAATTAGTGCAGGCATTAACTTTGTGCCATTCATTATCATTGCAAGTAATTAATAATGACAATACAATTACTGACCAGGGTTACATTGTTACAACTTCAATAGAATTCAACCCCTACATTTCCATCTTTGGTCTTACTTTATGTACTTGCAGAAGACTTATATTTCATTCAAAGAAACTGACTATTGCCATCAACTAAATGGATTAAAACTATTGTTTTTTCTGTATTCATTGTTTAAGAATGAGATTGGTAAAATTTCAGTGCGATCAAAATTAAATACCAGGAGTTATACTGAAAGTAATAATACTTTGAAATATTTGACATAATATTAAAAAATCAAAAATCTTAAGTTTCTATTAATTTTTTACCTCTTATGTAGATGAATGTATCAACAATTGATAACCATAAATTGTGTTGATCATTCAAAACCTTAAAAGAGCTCCAACTACCTATTATAATTTTAATTTCTATTAGTATTTTATCCATGGTGTCATCCTGAAACTAAAGTGTGTATTGACTTTTCACTTGGCAGCACAGAATACAAAGAAAAGGTCCTGCACTGGAGTACTTTCGTTTATGTTTCTTACTTGAACTATGACTACTGTGTATATCAAGTGTATGTCATGATTTAGAATCAATGTGATACTTGCATCGTTCGTTGACAAATACGGGCATAATTATTGTCTCCTAATGTCCGTATTTTTATGAAGTTCTATTTTATACATATGCCTTGGGCTAATTTTGTGCATCTTTTGTGTTTTTTTAATTTTGTATTATATGTATGATTTTATTTTTGCTTGGAATAGAAAGGTAATTTGAGTGGACTTTTATTTAAATGAGTGTTGTGTTGCCAGTGAACTAATTAATGTGGTTGATATTTTGTTTTGAATACTCTGGCTTTCATTAGTGGTAACCAGAAAATGTAAAACTAAATGTCATTGGAATTGTCAACTGAAGGTAGTTCCATAAGTTTCTGGCCTGACCAAAATAACATTTCACGATGGGGAAACTTTTTTAGCAGTAGATAGTCATATCTTTGACATAATGCTATAAGTTTTCATCTCACCAAGTGTTGTGGAGAGAGATGTTCAAGTTGGATGTGGGGCATAAAATCTAATGGTGTTTTTCTTCATGACAATGCATCTGTGCGCATTGCCCAGTTTGCAAAGAATACTGTGATGGACTGTGACTTGAAAGAATTGGACGATGTGCCCTACAGTCCATATTTGTCACCCAACAACTACTACCACTTTTCAAAGCTGAAGAAAGATTTTTGGAAAAGAAAATTTTCTGATCACAGAGGTGAAAGAAGCTGTTTTGGACCTTTTTTAGGCATAGAAATGTTAATTCACAGATGTAAAAAGTGAGTTGAAGTATGTGTGATTATGTTGAAATTTTTTTTGTGTGTGGGTGTGTGTGTGTGTGTGAAATCACAAATAAAAGATAGTGAGGCCAGAAACTTAAGAACCCCCCCCCCTCCCTCCCTCCCTCACATCGAACGCATCCACATGTTATTCTAAAGCAGTTTTTCACACTATTGTAGAAAGGATTGGGTTCTCACTGGAGGGCCAGAGTAATCAAAGAAGAGTTTTATTATATGCAATATAACTGTTTTTAATTTACATAAAAGGCTGACATTGTGATGTTTTTCCATTACATTACAGAATATTTCAATTTGTTGTATAATTTTATAGTACATTTGGCTTATAGATTGTAAAAAAAGTTTCATATGTTGTGCATTTTCTCATAATCTTGCCATTTTATAGTGTTATATTTGTTTTAGAGCAAATAGATTTTCAAAGACTTATGTTTTTTATTTAGAGAGAATGATAATTTTGGGTACTCTTTTCTACATGTGCAATTTTCTCATTTCCTGCAAGTATTAGGAAACTACTCTGTTTATTTCTTTTATCAATGTAATGTTGATTTCTTTCTATCCCAGGAATTTTTTTATTGAATGTTATGAATGTGTTTTAACATAACATATTATCGGATGAATAGATTGGGAACACATTTTGTAATAAGTACAAAGTGTATTTCATTTATTTTAACCCTAGAATGGTAGAACAGGCACAAAAGTCTGTCGATGCTACATTTAGAAGAACCTTTTAGAATATTGAGTCATTGATTCATAAAACTGAGCTCTTTAACCCTTTGGCCTTGTTAAGCAGCTTTCAGGTGAAATTTCAAAGTATTTTCAAAAGTCTGATTGAAGGTGAGGTGTCTCCCTTACTTGTTTAGGCATCTCTCAGGTGACAGGTCCAAATTCAAGTTCAAAAGGTGATGCTAGGCTGCTTGCACTCTCTGCAGCATTGTCAATTCAATGATTTTACTCCTTGCTGAAGTATTCCTCAAGAATGTTTTCCTTCATCTGATGACATTGGCAATATTTTTAAAGGATAGTACCAGAATCATATTTTCTCATTAAAGTATTATGACAATTTACCATCTTTTAAACAGTAATTAGTGTTATAATTAGGTCTAATATAATTCATCTTATGATTTTGCATTATGAAAATTAACAAGAGAGATGGATATTTACACATTATATTTTAATTTGGGTACAATATTCACACCTCTCATGGTATTCAGTTTTCTCTGATCATAGTAAATGTGACAAAATGACAACACATTGCTCACTCAGTACTTGCTAACTCTCATTAAGATACGTACTGCTTTGAATGGCATTTGATCTGACCAAATTATATGAACGCACAGGGCAGGCTTTGTTTACGTCAATTTATCTCAAAATATGTTCAAAATATAGAGGCCTTATTATGAAAGGATCAGGTCAAGTCTGTCATCTGAGAAGTGCAATTAGAGTTTTAGGATTGTATTTTTGCTTTCAAAACAAGTGCTTTTCTTGCAAGTCAGAATACATGAGAGTTTCTTTATCCAGTATGTGTAATAACTTGAAACATTATCTCAAGCCAAAGGGTAAATTCTGAAGACATACCAAATGCTTTTAGACTATTTTAATCTATAGAGCAAATGGCATTTATGTTTGTCAGAATTTGTATCCAAAATGTGATTTCATGTTTTCTTCATCGAAAACTAATGATCTGTTCACTGCCATTCAGTATGTTTTTACATATGTCTGTTTTGCCAGTCATTGCATTTAAATTCTGTATAAATCTTATGAACCAGTAAGAGTATGTATTGTCTCTGATTTTGAATGTGAGAGTTAAGCCATTGCTCAGTCATTCTAAAGTTCAGCATAATGAATAATGTTCTTATATTTCATTTTCATTCATGCATTTTGATTAGCATTAATAAGAGTTTTACCATTTAGGGTTAAAAGATTTCTTGGATGCATTTTATGAAATTTTAAGTCCTTAGTAATATAATTTTGACATTTACTTTTATACTTTTTTATTATAAAATGAAATAATGCAATGACTAATGATTACAATTTTGTATTTTTTCTTCCTGAAATCATGACTGCAAATTTATTACTATATTTATTATTTCTTCATTTATTTATTTATTTATTTATTTATGCCCATAGGGGTCTCCAATAAATTGCTCAACTGTTTTTACCGGAATGTATTTTAAAAGTTACTTGTGGGTCTCACAATTTTTATCATGTGATGGCAGTGACTCAGAAGTCCTCTTATTGATAGTAAAAAGCAAATTCTGAGACCTGCCCAATGTACAGAAATTTTTTTGGACCAAAAACGTGTGTATTTTGCCAATTGTTTTTTGTTTTGTTTTTTTTTTTTTTTTTTTTTTTTTTTTTTTTTTTTTTTTTTTTTTTTTGCTTAATTGTATAATTTGATGCTTTGCAGGTGCTACCTATATTATTTCTTTGAATCAACTTGATGTGAAACATGCTTTGCAACAAAGATGGAAATTCTATCTGCTATCATGTTTTTATATGAAAGCAATTATTTTAATCTAATAAATTAAATCTTAATGTGACTGCTATTTCTGGAGGGAAACATTTGTTCTTGAAAATTATGATAATGGACTAGTATTTATATATGACTAGTAGTTACCTTCAGTTTGTTGCAAATTGTCCTGATTCTTGTTGAGGTAATTAGTGTCTGTTTAAGGTTTACATTATCCCAAAAAATTGTAGATATTTTTAATCATTAAAAATGTTAAGCATGCGCTGCCACTGATTAGCTATATGTGAAAGAAAAAGATAAGTTTCTGTCTTTGTTCTTCCCGTAAAGTGACGAGGGAGGCATGGCAACATCAGTTGCTAAAAAACAAATACAATTTTCAATGTAAATACACATATTCCTGGTCAAGGTGTTCATTGTAAATGTTGAAAAAAGTTTTTAGTTTTGGTTTCTTTTGTTGGAAATGTGGAAAAATTATTTTGTTGTGTTTTTAGAAACCTTTTTGTTTTGGGGTCATGAGGAAATGTTTTGTGCAAACAGAACTGTTAGTAGTAGTAGTAAAGAGAAGCAGCAATTTGTTGTTAGTGTGTGACCAGTTTTGCAAGATCAGAAATTCCTGTACCTCTAGAGAAATGCAGATGTGTCTACAGTTATGTAATAGAACTATTCAAGTTGAAAAGCTACTCAGGAGCCAGTCTTCATAAATTACTTAATATTCTATTTGGAATATACTATTTCATAAAGTTAGTAAACTGCATATTTCACCAAAGACTCCACATTGGTGCATTAGGCCTTATTAGATATATCTTTATTACAAAATTGTATAACAACTGTAATACAATATTAGACTGCATCCATGAATGATGTCACACTAATTTGGATAAAAAAATTATTATTTTTTTTGTACAGAGGTTCCTACAACTTGATATAATTGCATTTGTGGCATCGTAGATCTCTCTTACATGTTGTGTAAATGGATTATATGAAGAATTTGGTGTTGCATTATTTGTCCCCATGCATTGTGACAGCCAGTCATCATTCCTTGCGACCCCTCTGCAAATATTTTGTATGTGACAGTGACATTCTGACATATTTTTGGATAGCATACACTGTATTATTTTGCTCTTTGAAGCATCAGAAATGGAAATGTTATCCGCAAGATCAGAAAATGGGTGTCAATTTTCAGTGTCTGCTGCACCATTGGAACCTCACATCTTGTTAATATTCATCTGTACATTTGAGAATTAGTGTGAGTTTTGCTTGGATGTAAGCAAGGTGTGTAGAATATTTTCTTATAGAAAAAATTAAAATTAGGAGCCTGCCATTTTGTAAGGTATTACTGTGTGTATATTTGCATTGGATATTATATTTCACATATTTCCCTAAACCTATGAAATTATAGATGAGCACCATGCTGGTTGAGGAAAAGTAATGTCAATCTTCAAAATACATTAGCTCTCCTGTTTGTATGTATGATCTATTATCAAAATGGCTTTCTGTAACCTGCAGCTTTAATTAAGGAACAAAACACCTGAACAAATTACAAGCAATTGTGCCTGAGCCAGTAGAAAAGATGCTTATGAATAAAGATAGAACAATGCAATTGTCTTAAGGAAGCTTTTTATTTAATGTTTAATTTCCCTACTTTAATTTTGAATGTACAATTATATTCTTGGCAAATTGTGGAGTGATGTTACTGTTTTGAAGTGGACATCATTTTTATTACATGTACACATACTTATTACATTACATTTCATCTACTCATATAACTTCTGTTATCTCTTATCATTACATGGACCAATAATTTTGGTTTTAAGTTTATACTAGATTGGGCTTTTAATAAACGGTGTAGACATGTAAAAGGCATTTCAAGTTAATTAGAAAATAAATTGAAGGCAATAATATGCAAATTGCTAAGTTAAAATACATTAACATACTTCACAAACCACATTTATAGAAGAAAAGTCAGTTTATGAACCTGCTCAGCTATCTGTGCGCGTCAGGAGTAAGGTCTATTAGAGCTGTTCCAAAGATTGGTGTGGGTGGAAAGGAGGTACTTGCAACTTTGTACTCGAAAATAGAGATGGATGGTTGTGTCATGAACTTATATTAGAAGGTTTTGGGCTGAAACTTTGTTAATTCGTCAGGAGTAAGATATATTTGTGCTGTTCCGGATATTGTAAAGATATTTTAATTCTGGGGGTACTTCACATGAAACCCTACTAAACAATTTCAAAATTTTCGGGAAAACAGCTGAAAATTTTGTGTGGACATTTTTTGCTCGCATTAGTAAGGTGTAGTTCCGGATTTCATTATAACATGTGACACATGGGAAATTTCAGAAATCTGTAAATTTAATCCATTAATGGGCTTTGTTTAGGAAGAAATTTGAGATTTGTTATGAACCAAATTTCGTGACTTACGCTTTAAATGAAATGGGGGAGCCCCACACGTTTTATAGATTACCGGTTTAATTGTACGAACACTAAATTTTAATAAAATTAATATAATCGAGACTCATATGCCGTTATATGTTCATTGTGTGAGTTGTAGATAATCGATCTACTGAAGGCATAATATGTTTCCTTTTCAAGAACACGTGCTAGTGTGAGATCATTCTCAACAAAGCGAAATTGAATTTCATTTAGTTATAAAAGTTCAAATATTACTGTATTTAATCGCAATGTTGAGCAATCGTGTGACACGTTTCCGTACTAAAAAAATCTGTGATTAGAATTTATAATAACTTACGTTTCGAAGTCAAGGTGAACAAGGGATTCCTTTGACATACACCCACAACATACTTGTTGGAGGGGTGTCAAGCTGGCACAATCACACCGAACCAGATGTAATATTTAGTACTCATTTATTACCCAAAAATTATTTTTATTACTTTTACCGTTTATAAAAATAAATGTGGTTGTGCTAACGTGACTGTCGAGCTCGAATAACCAAATTTAAAACATGGGCAAACTCATTTCAAACTAATACGAATATTTAATACTCGTTTATTACCCCAAAATGAAATTACTGTTGCCGTTTATGAAATAAAAATTGTTAAAACCTGCATGGTTATGCAACCACGCACAACATTCGAGTATTAATTTGAAGAGTGCGAACAGGTACAATCAACTAAGCCCCTTTTAGACAAATAAGAACACATTCAATACTAATTTATTACCACAGAGTTAAGTTATTTAATGTTGTTATTGTTATAAACTGAATTGTAGTTGTCCAACCATGCCAGATATTAAAATTCGTTAATAGAGAAAAATAACGAGCACAATTAAATAAAACCATCAGCATAATTAAACACACAATATTAATTTATTATTTTAAACATAAATTTATTATTGTTGACGTTCATGAAATAAATAGTTATTAACTATAGATGTGCAACAACGCACAATGTTCGAGTATATTTAGAGTACGAACGGGCACATTCAACTCAAACCTATTAAATACACATTCAACACTAATTTACTACAGTAATGATAGGTTAACTAATGTGTATTAAACAAATATTAAAATCTGAACCATACTTTTCCAACCACGCCAGATCATCAAATTCGATAATAAAGAGAACCAACGAACACAATCGAATAAAACCAAGAACAAAATTGCACACACGCTCATTAGTAATTTATGAAAGGAGAAGAAAGCAAGCAGTTGCCATTATGTTGTTAACTAGCTGATAAATGACTGCACTGTCAGCCTAGGACGAACGGGAGCAAAATAAATCTAATTGCGCCCATTTGATATTAGATGGTTTAACAAGGTGGCTTGAGATAGCTCTCTTTAGATTCCTGAAAATCATTTATGAATTCTGATGTTCATTGGATTTTTCCTTCGACGAACTTATTAATTCTATCTGTTGTATATGCACCCTAAATTTATTCGTCTTTTGCTGTAGGTGATTTGGCGCTTGGTAACACGCGATGCACTGACGCAGTCTGCCATTCTCTTGTTGCAACGAGCATGCATGAGTCTCGCCGTCAATCGCAGCGGACGGACGTTATCCCAGACGTGTTCCCAGTGACCGTTTATAAGTTGTCGCGCGTTTTTACCTATTATGTTTTGTGAATACAATAAACGTTTTATATTTTAACTTTTCCGAATGAATTATTTATCATCCCCAAGAACATGACACTATCATATATGCCTGAAATGCAGCAGAATATGGCAAACATCTGCAGAAATTCACGATGCCCATTATAGGCGTAGTTCACACACTGTATTCGAAAGTAGGTAATCCAGACATTCTGTAATTTTGTGCATAACGCCTTCAGGTGTCACATTATACCACGGAAAAGTGATTTTCGAGCAAAAAAATAAGATTTTTTACATGCATCTTAATGCCCGCATCGACAAGCTTGCCGGAATATTATTACTTGCAGATGTTTCTTGTGGTGATCGTTGGAGGCCGAGAAAACCAAAATATCTAGATAAGAAAAGCAAGAAGTAATCTTGAATCAAGTTGTTTATAAACCACCGAAACGTTTGTGCGGTGTATCGATGTCCAAAACACATGTATTTAAAAACAAAATTTACAAATGGCGCCGAAATCGTGGTTTTTATCAATATCAGCTGGATTTAAGGGAATTTACAGGTAAGCTTGTCAAAGAGACCAATTTTGGAGAAAACAGTTGAACCATGTAACTCTGAAAAATCTAATAGATGTTTCATCGAGTATGCATCGTGCACAGCCCTGACTTTTAATCTTCTTTAATCCCCGCAGGTACGCCACATATTGTCTTTTTTTGGGCCAGATGTAAAAAAGTAGACAAAGGACTGTCTGAACGGTGAATAACTCCAGCGTCCAACATACAGTTTTTGAATTCAGTGTTGGCGATACGAAGCTTGTCGGGTGCAAGGCGTCGAGGACGACAAAATATAGGAGGTCCTCATGTCACCACGATATGATATAGGGTGGAATTTTTTATAGGCCTAGGCGCATTTGTGGATCTAAAAAGCTCAGGATATCCTGATAATTTTATGAATATCGGATGACATGAAGTTGTTTCCGACAAAACCTTTACTCTAATTTGGTGAGACGTTAGGAACTGACATCGAACTGGTAAGTACGTCAATTTATCTATCGGTGAACACGTAGAACAATCTGGTAACAATCCGTAATGTGATAGAAAGTCAGACCCTAAAATTGGAGTGGTTACGTCGGAGACCAGAAAACGCCAAGGATGGTTGCGTAGTTTTAAATTCAAAATCAGATGTTGAAATCCATATGTTTTAATAAGTGATCTATTTGACACTTAAAGTTGTAGGCTCTTCGTTTTTCTTGAGGGAGATACTGTATGGGGAATCGTGGATGTTACACACGGTTATATTAAATGAAACGTAGTACCCAACAACATTTACATTTATTCATAGTCTCAGAGAAAAATACGCAAGGTCGAATACAATCTTCGGGGTTACAGCGGTCTGCTGCCCCACACCAGTAACGGTCATCACCGTGCTTCCTACAGGGAACGCAGTTCCCTTGACGAGCGCCTTGAGTGCCACACGCTCGTCGCCTTGGCGAGAGTATCGCCCCACGCTAGCGGCGACTGGTAACGCCCCTCTATTTGACGAGTGCCTTCGCCAGGGTCAGCGATTGCCGGCGTCCGCCTCCTTGGCGAGCGCGTCCCTGAGTGCCCCGGCGGTGCCCCGGTGCTCTGCCCGCCTCGCCCGTCGTAGCTCCGATACGGCGCGGTGGGGAGGCAACAAACTTAAAAGATAAAGACTTTGAAATACCTGTTATAGACTTACCGAAAATAAGAGTGTGGATTTTATGTACGTACCACAGTCCCACAGGAAACAAATGTTTGCTTAAAAATCTTGAAAATGTTCTTGTTAAACTTAAAAGACGCAGAAACTCTAAAATTATATTATGCAGTGATTTCAATATAAACCGGTTGTCAAAATCAAAAGAAGAGAAACTATTCAAAAAATTACTTAAATCTTTCAACTTACAAACTATTATAAATTAACCTACCAGAATATATAAAAAAACAAAATTGCCATATCAAATAATTATAGACACAAATAATTGCAGCTATTCAGTTGTTACATATAACACAGGGTTTAGTTATCATACAGCGCAAATACACAAACTCAAAATGGATACAAAAGATATTAAGGAAACACTTTATAGAGAAAGCCAAAACTTCTCTCGGGAAAACTTAGACAAATTTAACTCTTTAAGTTCAGAAAACTCGAAGGAGGTGTACAAAGCAACAGACACTAATATCAAATTTAACTTATTCATAAATATATTCCAAAGCTATTTCAACACTGTTTTCCCACAAACACTGAAAAATGTAAATAGCAAAAACCATAAATCATGGATAACTAAAGGATTCAAAATATCATGTGAAAAGAAACGAATCACGCATGAAACAACCTTCACCACCAATGTAGTTCTGATTTCATTGCTTATTACAAATCATACAAAAGTATCTTGAAGAAAGTAATTAAACAGACCAAACTGTCAATGAATGATCAATGCATTGCCAAAACACAAAACAAAACAAAAGCAATGTGGAACATTGTGAAAGATACTCTAAAAACAGAAACACTAAGGACATTGGACTTCACTACAAAAATAATGTTCTGCGCAATCCCCAAGCAGAAACAAACACATTCAATAGACATTTTTCG